AACCATTTCCGTGCAGCTGACTCACTAGCTATTTTCCCGCGTTAATACTTTTTTTTTCATAGTCCGTCGTTGCTACCTCATCGCGTGATAGCACTAAAAATAGCCTGCTCTTTCCTTTCCATCTCCGTTTGTCTGAAGGCGATAGACTGCAAGTCGTCAATTAAAACGTATAGTAAAACCATGTCTTATTTGCAGAGATTTTAAATCTGTCCTGAGCTGTCAAGGGCCCTGAATATGATGCGTCATTGTCATTTAAACTCTGCACCACTTATGCCTCCTGCCTCAAAACTCGATACTAACCTGCACCAAGTGTAAGAGGAATTTTTCCTTTGCTTCAACGAATGAGAGTAAGCATGAAGGATCCTTTAAATGATATTCGTCAGAGAGACTCATTTATACATGCGACATAATGGCCGTCTATTTTGATGAAGTAGCGATGTCTTAGTCTGATTATTTTAACCGTTAAAAGTTATAATGAATATTACTGAGGGCAAACCTTTTTGACATTTAACGAAGTTTTAATTATTTAAGTACGTTCTTGTTGTATGTTTCAGGCTATGCCAATTCCATTTATCACAGATTCCCATAACCAAACCTCAACTTCTCCGTATTGGAGAGCGGACAAAGACCAAAGTACCATGGATCGCATGATAATACAATTAATAAACGTGGGGTACCGTGTTGAAACCTATTTACCATGAGGTCCATTACTCCGAATAATGAAACAACAATATCCGGGTATAGCAAACACATTTAGGCGTTTTGAGCAAGTCTGTCATGGAGAAAGATCATTTTTCCTATACTACTAACAGTGACGAATGAGTTAGGAGATACTCTAGGCAGTACTTCCCAAGGAAAGAATGGAGTCGTGTCGTTTTCACAGTTTGTTTGCCAACTAAGCGAAGCAACTGCGACTTATGAACAAAATGGACAGAAGAGCTAGATGCAATTTGATGGACGATGGAAAGAATTACAGGGGCAATAACATTTTTATGTCATTTTAGACGGTCAAGGCTGAGCACGTCTAAAATTATATTCTCGCCCAAGTTAGCCCATTAGCGCAGGTGATTTTCTTCGAACACAGGACGGCATTTATCGCATTGTTCCTAAACCCAGTCAAAAATCTGGCAGTCAGCTTGATCTGTGGTGCATTCTTGCTCTCTGACTAGAGTAATAATTTAAAGCGTTCTGTGGGACCATTTAAACCAGACAGTCTACGGATATCTGCACGGTTGGTGGAGGGTGAAAGATGATTTCGTTAAAGCATCATTCAACCAATGTTCAGCTAATGTCAGCCTCATGTACAATGCGTCGTCCATCATCTAAAAATGATAGAAACATCACTTAGCCGTTATATGATTCGTCTTTCAGCAGATAACCC